ATTGCAAACTTTTTAATGTTTTGAAAAAAAAAGTACACTGTAACTGTTTACCAGTCAGTGATTTAGCTGTCATTAGACATCTTTTAGGACCTTATTCTCCTAATATTAAATATCCATCATATATAAAATACTCTACATTAAAGAGTAGAAAAGGATTTAGAAAAAAGTTCCTGTTTGCTCTTCTCCCATTTTGTATTGTTTCAATATACTTTTGAGCTTGATTACTGTTCATTATCTTCATATTTCATTCACAAGCGAAATTTTCATTAATTATGTAAATAGTAAATAGGTCAACGAAGATTGCATTGAGATCCTCAAGAAATAGATCAATGACATTAATATTCAACTCATGAAAAGTGAAGATAATGAACAAAGATCAATCTCAAAGAAACTTACAAACAATACGAATTTGTGAGCAGGGCATAAAACACGGATCCCCGGAAATCCCAGAGGTGGGATCAGGTGCCTAGGTGGAGAAAACATCACATGTTGACTGTTCAAACCCGCCGTAAGCCTAAGCCCAGTGTTTTGATCAAGTAGTCAAATTAATTATTCAAAGGCCTAACAATTGGTTTGAAATATGTCAGTCAAAATACGACCCAGTGATAGGTTGTATTTGTTAACAAGACCAACTTGGGGAACCTCGATCTTTAAACTGGAGTCCATCACACACCGAGCGTGACCGTTTAATAGTGGATGCTTATTCTTCCATGGTACCTGATCCCACCTTTGATGTTTTTAGAGGTCTGTGTTTGCTCTGCTCCCAATTTGTATTGTTCCAATGGACTGTTGAGCTTGATTACTGTTCGTTATCTTCATTTCATGCTTCACCTACTTAACACTTAAACAGATTTGAAGTGCCTTAACCAGTCCAGTCCAGTGAGAAAAATCGTAATATTAAGAACATCATTTGTAACTATTACGAAAAAGCCTTATATTACAGAATATCGTAATATTATTCTTATTTATTATTCTTCATAATAAAGTTAAATTAGGGAAATTTGTAATGCAGCTAGTTTTGAGAGACTATATTACGAGTTTTCGTAATACAAGGCAAAATAAAGCATTATTAACTAACAAACGTATGTTGTATTCTAGGAATTTTAGCATTTAATCGCATGAGTTTAATCCCCATTACGTACCAGATGTAGTACAATCAATCGTTTTTAGAAAACCGTACCAATGAGGAGAAACTTTTCTGGAAACAGATCAAACCCTTAACTTAGAGCAAAATGTCTTCAACCAAACAGTGCCCTAAAGTCCAGAATATATACGATTTAAATTGTTGTCACAGTGTAGGAATTAGTTTACTTAGTACTTATTCATTGCTTTAACGTATGTTCAATATAATTTTCGTTTACAAAACACTTAAGTTCAAAGTAAAACAAAACACTAATTTAGATTATCTTAATTTTTTTCTTGAACAAGCAATTTGAGGTCTTGTTTCTGAATCAAATGAGCTAATTCCTTGTACATGCAAAAGTGTTTGTCTTATTCAGATATTGGAACAGAAGTTTCGGATACTAAATATTAGATACAACTGTCATTTTCCCCCCAAATAATCTAGTCTCGTTCAAAATCAGCATTTCGCAAATTCTATGGTCGGTAAAATGCCCTTGTAAGCAAATACAATCTTTCATTAAGTCGAATGTTGACTGACGTTTTTCATACAAATTGTTAGACCATTATTTTCTCTAAATTGTGTACAGATTTTTCTGTTTTCCCGATCAATTAAGAAAAAGAGCACAAAGCGGGGTGTGACCGGTCGACAGGGATGCTTACTCCTCAATGGCACCTGATACCACCACTGATATTTTTAGAGGTCCGTGTTTGATCTGCTCCAAATTTGTTTCGTTTCAATGGACTTTTGAGCTTGATGTCTGTTCGTTTTCTTCATTTCAATTCTGTTCCCATTCATGTACGTTTTACATACTCAGTATCAAACTTCATAAAGGTGGTCCTCCGAAAGTACATTCAGAATAAGTATAACTGCTATAAATACCAATATCAATGACAAGTTGTCGGAAAGAACATGATTATGTCGTTTTACGTCCCGTTCAAGAATAAAGTGGACCCGCAACTTTCACTTCAAAGTGCCGAGCGCTTGGCGAAGGAACAGTTGCTACCTATTTCTTTTTTATCGACTTAGGTCAGTTGCGCCCGCGTGATTCGAACTCACGACCTTCCGATCACGGAGCGAGCTCGGAGAGAACATGGATAGTATCCTATGATCTGAAACAATATAATGGGAAAAAAAATTCTTAGCTGAAATTATCATTCATGCTCTCTCTCCACAGTGGAATAGTAGTAAACGTGCTGAAGAACATAAACATACTGGTAATTTTGACTGAAAAGAAAAAAATCAATACAAAAATTCAGAACAGTACGACATTTTGGAATTTCTGTAGTTGAGTAATTTACCACTATTTTAATATCTGATAGAGAACGGGAAATTTTTACTCCATTTTTACACAGATCTGTTTTGGGGGGTCTTATAGCAATTACATTGCATGCTTTCTTGTCGTTCTTCAAGTTGCATCGTAAATATAATCTTACTAAAAAATAAATTTTGCGTCCACTTTAATATGCACAAATATAATCACAAAATGTATCTTACGTACAATTAACTGCAGTCTGTATCCCAATTATATACTTCAGCCTCATGAAAATCAGTGTATTTCATGACAGTTTTATTTAAAAAAGAACCCATACACAATTTAACATGCAAATCATCATACTATTGATTATGAAACAATAACATATGTTTAGAACATGTTTTATTTTCATGTAAGCACTAGAAATCACTGACAAGACTGTAACTCTATTTCTTACACGACTTGAACAGCACTTGGACTTGTCTTTTTTTGTGTCTTTTTTCCTTTGAAAAGTTAGCAAACATTATTTATAGACAGGGAAAAACATTATTTATATAGCTTTGGATTACATGTACATGTATATTGAAATTATTTTTTGTCTTTCTTTCAAAATACATTGTAGTTCATCAAAAATGAAAAGTGATTAATTGATTGATTGTGTGTTGTTTTACGTCCCATTCGCGAATTAAAATGAAAACTGAAAAAGAAAGTTATTAAATAGTTCATACATAGTGTTTATCATTTATTCTAAATCTGTACCCATGTATTCAAATCAGACAACGGAAAAAAGAATTTCAAAGTACATTTAATTTTAAATAAACAGCTTACTCTAGTTTTAGTTAAAGTTTCAAAAATTTTATTGTATCTGAAATTCAAAAAATAATTAACAATCAATTCCTCTATAATAATCAAACTTTGATGTATTTTAGTGAAATCAGACATGTTCAATCTATTATAATACGTTTTGAAAAGTAACGTTTTGAAAACTAATACATAAACACATCATACAAAAATTTTGTTCTGCAGCTACATTCTTTGTCGAAAGTAAAAATTGATTATGAGGACAAAGTTTACCTGAAAGAATTAAAATTATTCTACTTTATGTAAAAAAAAAAAGGCAAAAATTAATTTTCTGAATTGAAAATTGATAAATCCCTAAACTTTGTATATCCCTAAACTTTACATACAAGAAGTAGTTTACACTATTTTGTAGTCTAAAATACATGTATACATGTAACTGAAATCAGTCAAGAATTGTAGGCAAAGACATATTTCATAGAAATTTTTACAGATGAGACAGACAGACATTTATGACATTTTTTCATTGCTTAAGCTCTTCTGGTCTTCTTCAAATAGAGCGGAAAATGGATTAGAGCCAAGATTTATAATAGAGGCTACATGCTCACAAAGGAAATACAACAACTTTAAGGTAGATTTGTTGATTTGGTGTCTGAATGCATAACACACAGTGTTATATTTAAACCACCAAATTTCAAAAGAAAAAAGAGATTATCAACTATTTACTACTAAAAAGATAAATTACAAATATGTCAAAAATAATAAGAAAATGACATGCTCACATAGGAAAAACAACAATTTTAAGGAATAGATTTGCTAATTTGATGTCTGAATGTATAACACACACAGTATTATATTTAAACCACCAACTTTCAAAAGAAAATAAAGATCATCAATTACTTTAGACAAAATAAGTCAAAAATTATAAGATAATGACATGCTCATTAAATAAAATCAGTGAAAATAATCCCTTGTTTACATTGTCAACTTTACATTTTTGACAATTTTCAAAACATAAATAAAAAGAATGAAGAGGAAACATTTCCCCCAAATAAATACCCAGCAGAGATTACAAATCCTTCATATACATTGGTCATCAAAGTACTTACTCATATATATTTACTACAGCAAAAGCATGCAACAGTGTATATTAAATAAAGCATTAACATTGTGCACATATATGAATCATATCTTGTAAATGAATCTTTTCTCTTTTCTGCTCATAAGAATATCTATTTCAAGTTTCTTCTTAGAGCAGGCATTTCAATACAGTAAAATGACTGTGAATCTACATGTATATCAAATAAGCATTAGCTCTACCTTCTAGAATTCTCAAAGTTCATAAACAAAAAAAATGGTGGGAAAAAAGAATGGAATTTCACAGTGAGATTGTTTGCTAATTGACTAATTGCTAACAGGTGATTCATGAGCACAACCTTTTAATCTAAAAAATAAAATTAGGGTGGACATTATTAATACTTAATCTACTAAAATATGTTTATATGGAGTTTGAATTGGATGCTGTGCTGGTTTTGAAATACTGAAGTAAAACTTAAAATATTGGACATTTTGCATAAATATTTCATGAAATGAAGACATGTAGAGTAGTTTATAATGTAATCACCTACATCAGCGGTGACAAGCAGTTTGACTTAGAAACTTATGTAATGCTGTCAGAGAATGTATATAACTTAGGAATCTTGATCATTCTAATGGCTATTTATATACATTGTACATAAAATTTTTCACAGCTTCAGACAATAAAGTATTGTCTAGTATTCAAATATCATACAGCACTTATTAATCTCAAAACCCTAACATTTGTCTAGTATTCAAATATCATACAGCACTTATTAATCTCAAAACCCTAAGATAAAGTTAAGGATCCTCTTTTACAATATAAAACAGCAATTAAACATTTCAAATGATACTGCATAGCAAGATTTTTAAAGCAGGGATCTAACTTTGCCTTAGTTTAGCAGTTTGGTACTTAGCCCACTAAAATTTTAATCACTAAATCTGAAATCTTGTGCAAAAGTACAGAATGCAAGAAAGATAACTTTGATCAGTCTAATCTTCTGTTTTACTTGAACTTTTGCATAAATCATAATTAAATGTACTGAAAAACGTTGGTAATTCATAATATGAATGATTTTGAAATTCTAATTGAAATACTAAATTATTGTTTCCTGTGTTTCTTTACATATACTTAGGGTACCTAAGAACTTTTCCGTTAAGCGACTAAAAATTATGCTACAATGTATTTATCATAGAACTATAGGGCTATAAATTAAGGAACTTTGGATCTGCCAAAAATAATTCCTCTAAAATTATTGGCATACCTTTAAGCATGCAAAATGCCAAATTATACAGCCGCTAAAGAAACCCTCTATATGGTAAACTATAAAATCACATATTTTCAAGGGGGGGGGGGGCAAATTTTCAAGGTTTGAGGGAACAATATTGATTTGTGGGGATTTGATTTCATGGTAAGAGAAGTGTTGAGTAGTGATGTACATGAAATTTTACATTTCTGATGGACATGAATTTGTGGGTCTCTTCACGCCATGAAAACAATGAAAATTAAACCAAAATTAGTGATCTCCACAGTAACACATGATATTATGAGTGTTATTTATTTTTTTTACAGAAGGATAAGGATCAAGTGAAAATAAAATCCAAAACAAATTAACTACAGTGTGATAACAAACTTTGCCTCAAAAACTGCTATAATGTTTAAATCTACAACTTAACTAAATCTAATTTCTACACATCTTTATATCAACAGAAGTATATACGTTCAACTTGGTATATTTTCAGAATAACCATGCTTTGTACATACAAGTGCTGCATCTAAACAACTTCTGATACTTCAGCATAGATGAAAATGAAAAGGTGTCCAAAGGATTACTACAAAATGATCTAAATATTGCTCACCTTCACCTGAAATATCACAAAATATACTTATGGCACACATGAAAACCCTTTTCTTTATATAAAACATATCTTTAATTAAAGACTCTAGGTGTATACATGTTCTCTGCATTAAACAGCATTTATTTTAACTCCTCTGACCGTATCTTACAAAACGAACAAACAAACCAAACAAAATATTCATCATGAGCTTTGTTTCCTCAGAATGTTATGAAAATACAGATTTCCACAAACACACAGTAGGATTATGGTAAAGGCATTGTAAATAATCATTCGACGAAACTTTGGCTCCAAATCTCCTTGTCTGTACCAGAAAATCTGCAAGATATTCCATAATTTAAAGTTCAAAACTACACCAGATTGTGGTCTGAAAGAACTTAATTTAACTGAAGAAAGAACTAATGCATAAAATACATAAACATGTAGCTGTATGGAACATAAATTTTGATACTTTTCATTGTCTTTGCACTCCCTTCTTACCAAAAGTAAATGAGATCCACATATCATCACAATAATGATGGCAAAGAAGACATTGATTCCATTTGGAGGAAAACTTGGGAAAATAAATGCGCTGATGAGGGTTACCTGTATAGAGAAAATAAAAAATAATATCATTGAATTTCTTTTACAAAAATGTTTGTTATATGATAGTACTACATTTGTATTAAGTTTCAATAATTAAAATACATCAAACACAATAAGACACGCTCATGGTAAAGTGTCAGCAATGGATGAATTTGCTTTGTTATAAAGGTAACTCATAATATCTGTTATGTTCACAATATATTTTTAAGGCCCAGGGAATAAAAGTAACTTTGGTGAAAGAATATTAAATTCATTACAAGTGTGTTCACTGTAAGTGTGTTTTACTGTATTGTGGAGACATAAATAATAAAATTTCTAAGCTCTGACCTTAACGTGCACAATAATATATTCTTTATCCTGAATTGTTATCATTATCAAATGAAATTGCTATTACTTTTTGTAAATATTTTAGCTTTTTCATCATGTTCATGGGGAAATGTTTCATTGGCCCCGCTGGGGGTGGTAGAGGTGAAGGGGGAGGGGAGCTCCTGCATCCAAACCCCTAAATAAATTTTTTAAATGTTATTCAAATGTTTCAAAAAATATGAAAATGTTCTTTTTTTTAATTCCAAGAAAACTCTGAAACAAGCGGCATGTCTTTCATTCTAAATAAAGTAATACAAAACTATTTTCCTGATTTTCCATGTTTAATTAATCGATCAATCTTGTATTTGTCGAATATTACATACTTTCTGCACTTTCAGAACATTAAATTTATTTAGTACATTATTCAAGATATATATTTGGACACAACCTGGAACTATTTTTTCAGTCCTAATATACTTGAACATATAACGACTTCTCGTGAACTTGGATCATACTATTAATGACAATGTCTTCATAGGTATTCTAGTGCAAAAATTTACATTTAAGTTTATGAAACTCCTATTATTTCTGCAAATTACATAGTCTTTGCACTTGCCACTTAGGATTAATCCTATGAATGATGGCTCTTAATTCAGAAGCAGCTAGTTTACAAATACAACCAGCTTGTTATCACCTTATGAAAGATTTGGTCTATTTGGTTTGAAATAATATTCAGGGGTTGAAATTTTCCTGGAAAACCACTAGCCCAGGGGCTACTGAGCAGTAAAAAATTATTAGCCCAAACCTCAAACTAACTAGCCCCAAAAACTTTTTATGCAAAATGAAAACATAACAAGATAAATTAAAGTTTCAAATGCTGTGGTGATAGACAGAAACAAATTAAACTACAATGTAGTTCTCATTCAAAAGAAACGAGTCTACATAGATAAGCAAAAGTAAACTGACAAGAATTTTTTTTTGCATTCTGCTAGTCCGATGGTCTATCATTACATTTAAATTAGCTAGCCCGAGTCTTAAAATGACTAGCCCCAGGCGTCGGGCTACCGTATATTTTAACCCCTGAATATTTATATATTTGTAATTAAGCTTCTGTGAGGTTTGCAAGGAACAACCCTCCCCCCTTTCCTTTTATTAAAGAAAAAAAAATTTCTGATAACTAATGTTGTCAATGCAAGAGATAAGAAAATCCACTTACATGTATTTTATTTGACCATATTTGATTGTATACAGAAGTTTTACTTCACGGATACTGCACTTGAAATCAGAATTAAACCCCGTCCTTTTTTTTCCTTCAACTATCACCATCTTTGGAGAGCTACTTGTATTAATTTTTCTTCAGTCTGTGTTTTGTAACTACTTTGTCTTAATCTTGTTCCATTTAGTTTTCATTCTCATGCAAATGAAACAGACTAAATAACAAGAATATGTCTTCCAGCACTCTTACTGCAGAAATTTCTCTGAAAATTTTGGAGACATTTGCTGCCTTAATTTTGTTCACAATTCTCCTGTAAAGTTGCATGGCAAGGACATTTTTACTTCTTTCAATGTCTAGTGTAATTACTACTGCATCATAGACCTATCGTTTTCATTTCTAAATAAATTTTGCCACGATTTTAATTTAGCTATAATGACTTTATCAAACCACCTTAACTTTGATCCAAACATTTTTAAAGGTATATTTGAAATGCAATGGCACTTGTCAGTTTGAATATGTAGTAATATACTATATTTTATAACGACTTATACTTACCGCTACAACAATACTTGTGAATACTCCTACAACCAAATTAATCATACGGTCCTAAAATTAAACAAAACAATACTCATAATTCAAAATGAACAAAGACCACCGTTCATAGGTACCCTCTAATCTTAATTTAGCATAAAACAATTATGAAGCAGATTTTTATTTTACATGTAGCAAGTGAAAAAAAGTTGATTTTATTGCATTAAATTGAGATCCATTTGGTTGTAACCCTCTATACTGGTAGTTTCATTTTCTTGTATCTATTACAGTATATAGGTTATAGAATAAACCAAATACTAGAAGCACTAACTCTAGGCTGTTGGTGATCACCAAAGAGTGGTACATCGGCGGCATCCCTGTAACGATTATCGGTTGACTGATAATTTCCGGTGCTCATTATGTTAGAAATATTCAGTGAATCAGTCAAAAATAGTCCCTTCGCATTTTGGTAAGTTTCACATGACTTGAAAACTTCCGGTTTCACTTTCAGAATTTTGCTAAATCGTTCGTATAATAGTCGATTGCGCATTATAATAGTATTTCTAGAGTATAATAAGTGGTGACCGACTGGGTTTTCTTTGTGCAATAGTTAGGCCAGTGAAGAAATACAACGTATTTACTCATTTTGAAATATCGATTTTCAAACTAGACAAAAATGCTCTCTCCTTTTAAAAATAATAAAAAATTAAAATAAAAAGATTTTTGTCAATATGATAAGTCGGTGGTTGTCATTATGCGTTTAAGACGTCATAATCAACTGAAACTCTTTAAGAGAAAGTCAAAAAATATACAGAAGTATATAATATAAATATGAACATAAAAAATTGCACATCTCATTTTTTTCTTTTACTTAAAAAACATTTAGTTGCCCACTACGCATGCTAAATAAAACAACAAATACCTGAAACTCAGCTGCCATTGACGACATTTTCAGTCACAAAAATCAAATATCCGTTGTGTTAGTTGTGTGTTATTTCCGAGTCAAAGCCACGAACAATGGAAAGTTAAGTACAAAGACACTTTTGAATAATTCCCAGAAAAAGTTATGTGAAATACAATAAAGTATACCTTGGGTAAATTGAACAAAAATTTTACAATAAAGAGTTAATAATACTTATAACACTTTGTCACCCATTGAAATATACCGACACAGGATATTGATGGTTATGTATTGCATTGAAAATAAAATACACGTACACTTATTACTGGTCTGCTAACCCACATCAACTATATGTATTTAACAGGAAACGTTTCAATTGGATATTGTTTCCGTAAATGCATGACATTGTTTACAATAATAATAATAATTGAAAAAAAATGTATCATTAAAGGAAACAGTGGTTCTAAAAAGAAAGTAAGAGTAACATTTGGAATAATTTGTGCCAGCTGCATGCAAGCAATTTTAAAATGAAATTGAATTTTAACTGAAAAACATAGAAAAAAAACCCCCATAAACTATATATGAAAATCAATATACGACAACGAACGACTGTTTGTTACTGCCAACTACTCGCTGCCACTGCTTATAGGTTATATTTCCTGTTGTGTTTTCATTAATTATAAGTATGTGAAATATAGAATAGTTCCTAAGAAAGCAATATTAACCCCCCCCCCCATCCCCCACCCCCATAGAGCGTTTGCTCCAGAATCGCGGAATAAGGAATTCGAATCCACTGCGGGACGTGGAGACTGGTCCTTCGGATGAGACCGCATAAATCGAGGTCCCGTGCGGCAGTAGGTGCATGCTGGCACGAAAAAGATCCCTCATTGCTCAAAGGCCGATAATGCCGAGTACAGGTCATAATAATTGCAGCCCACCACCGGCAAGTGGTGGCGTCTCAAGTGAAAATATTCTCGCTTTATCATCCAGGAAGTTAATACTTCTCTTCAGTCAATCGGTTCATTACGGTGTTACACTTAGTCACATAGGTACAATGCGTGCTAAAAATTATTATGACCTTAGACATCAATTAGATTTCAACAATTTATGACATTGTAACGTAAAAAAAACAAAAAAACAAGAGGCCCAAGGGCCTTAACGGTCACCTGAGTATAATACAACAATTTAGAAGTTAAATACACTGGTAGATGAAGCTTTGTTGCCCTAAAGCAAGAGAAGTAGGAAGATCAGGATCAAAAAAATAATTAGTCTAGTATTCAGTATCAACTCATAAATTAAGTTCTAATCTGTCCCCCACTTAACACTATCACCATGCAGACTATTGGCAAACTACTAGCGCTCCTGTATAAAATACTCTGTATTTTTAAACCCATATTAAGACCTCTAGCATTGACCTCTCTTATGGTCTTTGAAGAACTTTTAATAAGATAAGTTATTTTTGTCTCAATTTTATTTATCTATTACTTACAGGTCTACCTGATTATTAAAACTAAGAAAGTACTTTTTTAATTATACGATAAACATTCTTGCATAATTATCTTATTCTATTAACCTTTCAAATACATTATTTACAGTGATTAATTATCAAAGGTGAATGGAAAAGGGGAATAACTTCTCTCAGTAGAATACAAATCAATAGAGCCCTGCCTAGGACCAGAATGCTTACACGAATGGTCCAGATGTTTAAAAATCTGGTAGAAATACGCTTACTCATATCATTTAAACTTTTACTCAGTTTGCTTCCGATATGCCCAGAAGCAGAGAAGAATTTCACAGGTACAATGCATTTTCACTACAGATTCAACATAGCCTTACCCTAACACCAGAACCCAAGACCAAGGGTCAAGAAATTGACAAATTTGGAAGAGTTACCCTCATCATCATAACTATGGACTTCAGAGAATTAACACTTTCCCACTATATTATCAAAAGTCCCCCCCCCCCCCGTTATGCCAGAACCCCTGACCATAGGACAACAAGATTTAAAAATTCTGTTCAAAGCTCCCATTTTCATCATAGCTAAGCAATTTATTTACCAGCTCAACACTAAGGAGCAGACAGGATTAATTAATGATTAATTAATAGAATTAATGCTTTTTCACTATATAATCAATAGGACTCCCCCTCCTGAAGAACCCCAAAAACTGAGGCCATATATTTAAAAATTTTGGAAGAGGCATCCTTGTCTATCATAATCATGCAGTTAGTTTGTTTAAATAATCTCCAGTAGCAGAGAAGAAGATTTTCAAAGAATCAATGCATTTTCATTATATAATCAATAGAGCCCCGCCCTAACACCAGAACCCCTGACCCTGGGGCCATGAAATTCACAATTTTTGAAAAGGCATCCTTATGCATCATAACCATGCAGTTAGTTTGTTTAAATAATCTCCAGTAGCAGAGAAGAAGATTTTCAAAGAATCAATGCATTTTCACTATATAATCAATAGAGCCCCGCCCTAACACCAGAACCCCTGACCCTGGGGCCATGAATTTCATAATTTTTGAAAAGGCATCCTTATGCATCATAACCATGCACTTAGTTTGTTTAAATAATACCCAGGAGCAGAGAAGAAGATTTTCAAAGAATTTAGCATTTTTCACTATATAATCAATAGAACCCCGCCCTCACACCAGAACCCCTGACCCAGGGCCATGGCTTTCACAATTCTGGAAAAGGCTCACCTCCTCATCATAACTATGTACTTAGTTTATCACCCTAATGCCTAGGAGCAGAGAAGAAGATTTTCAAAGAATTAATGCATTTTCACTATATAGTCGATAGAGCCCCGCCCTACATTGTAACACCAGAACCCCTGACCCTGGGGCCATGAATTTCACAATTTTGGAAAAGGTTATATTGTTCATTATAACTATGTACTTAGTTACTTTATTTAATACCCAGGAGCAGAGAAGAAGATTTTCAAAGAATTAATGCATTTTCACTATATAATCAATAGAGCCCCGCCCTAACACCAGAACCCCTGACCCTGGGGCCATGAATTTCATAATTTTGGAAGAGGCACTCTTGCTCATCATAACTATGTACTTAGTTACTTTATTTAATACCCAGGAGCAGAGAAGAAGATTTTCAAAGAATTAATGCATTTCACTATATTATCAATAGAGCCCCGCCCTAACACCAGAACCCCTGACCCTGGGACCATGAATTTCACAATTTTGGAAGAGGCACTCTTGCTCATCATAACTATGTACTTAGTTACTTTATTTAATACCCAGGAGCAGAGAAGAAGATTTTCAAAAAAAATAATGCACTTTCACTATATGATCTATATAGCCCCACCCTGGGGTCAGAACCCTGACGCTGGGGCCATGAATTTCACAATTTTGGTAGAGGGCTCAATGCTTATTACAATGATGCCAACAGTTTGACTGCTTGATGTCCAGGAGTAAAGAAGAAGATTTTTAAAGATTGCATTATTTTTGGTGGTTTTAGCCCCACCCCTCAGGCCCCAGGGGGGGCAGGGACCATGAAATTCACAATTTTTGTTCCCCTTCACCCATAGATGCTATATACCAAATTTGGTTGAAATTGGTTGAGCGGTTTCAGAGAAGAAGCTAAAAATGTTCAAATGTTAACACGCGACGCACGACGCACGCTGACGGACGAGAACGGATAGCAATAGGTCACCTGAGTGACTCAGGTGACCTAAAAATCACAAAACCAGCAACGATACATGTGTTTATTTGCCCAAAATAACTTCCATTACAAGCATAATAATGTTATGAAATGGGTGCGAGCTCTCATCAGAAACAACGTTATTTCTGTTGCTAAAATTCATATTCTTTCAGAATGTTCAATGATATTTGAAATCTCGCGGATTCTTTTCTATGCAATGTTCTCGGCCATCAAACTATCATCATCATCAATGTTCAGTCCTGTAGAAGGAAGCGAAAAGGATGTAATATCCAGAGAATCAAAGATCCGTTCCATTGCTTGAGATACGTGTAATTATATACCCAGCAGTTGTTTCGCCGATAAACATATTAAACCTCTACAATATTTTTTTTTGAGTTTTGCCATGATACACAGGGGCTTGTCAAGTGAAGATCAATAATTATGTCTTCTTTCTTTTTGACTAGGTACATGTAAGAAGATGAGTATTGTGACGATCCCCTGTGCATGACATAGTGAAAAGACTCTTGGCAATAAAGTACACTTTCATACTGTCTGAATTATCGGTATGCATATTTCCAGAACTGTTGAAATTTGCATATTACATGTAAATGTATATACTGAAGCAAATAAAAATGACCATGGACCCCCCCCCCCTCCCGGAATTTTTTTTTTTTTGTAATTTTTCTCGTCAAGAAATTTTCTGGGTTTGATACGTTTGGGAAAGGATTTTTTTGGTTGTTAGGAAATTTCTGGGTAAGAAATTTTTTGACTGGGGTGGAGTGGTTGACCCCCGCTGGAAAAAAAATTCCTGGATACGTGCCTGACGCGCCACTACGACGAATTAAATTAAGTTTATATATTGCTAAGGATAAACATCTAATGGCATGTTACCATTTGTACAATT